AAGGAGACTTAAATTGACGTCATAACATTCATATAGGGATTAAAATGACAGAAGGACCACAAACAACTGTCAGTTCTTGAACCAGACTTAGAATCAATCACCTTCAAAAAATAAATACGACTCGATGATCCTATAATGGCATAAATGAGCCAACGACTTGCAAAAGCGGGCTTTCCATGACTCAATCATAATCCAAGAGTCCTACAAGAAAAAAAGTAACCAACAAAAAGTGAACAGTCTATCTACAGATTTCATCAATTTTAGCACATTTTACCGATTTAACATATATTAGTGTTACTAAACAAGCTCTAAAATCATATTATAGGCTTTTTTGTTGAGAAATAAGATATGTAGATCTGTTTCATCACTCAATACTTTTTTTAAGGTGGGTGTAGTCCAATGGATGATCGTCCACCCCTCAAGCGTCTTCTTTGTGAGAGGTCTTGATTTCAATTCTCACCAATGGAAGATAAGGGAGGTCGTGCTCCCAATAATTCTTCCTATGTTCACGGAGTTGCTCATCGGTTAAGAAGAGAGAGGATGGTAAAGAAGGCAGCGAGTTCGTGTGGTGGGAGTAGTGGCCTGGAAGGATGGGACAGATGATGTAAGTCCTGCTACATTCGTCCTTTGTAAGAATACCTTCACGGACGAGGTTGACTGTGATCAGATCTGGATTTAACTGTCTAGAGGCGTTGGAAGATAGTTATAAACTCCAGAATTATAGGAGCGTAAGCCCCGATAATTTGGATAAAAAAAATTGAAAATTTGTTTACAAGTGACTTTAATTTGAACACTCCAAATCAATAAGCTAGATTGGTCGATGATTATGATGCAACATCTTATGCAAGTCAGGGAGAATGGTAACACGTTTCAATTGGACAACCAAATGCATGTCCATCATTTGTGTAGGCAAAATTGTTATTTTTGTGCTCTACAATTCTACAAAAAGTAATCACACCTTTCTTTCCCTTCTCGTAGGGGCATGGCAACCACGAATGGTGATCAGTGAACCTAGTCTATTTCGATTTTAACAATCTATTGCTTCCCTTTCCATATTAGCAACCTAAATCAAGATTGAACTTTAGAACAATTATCAACCCAACCATTCAAAGTTGTCGTTACATTCATCAAAGCTTCACAATAATTAATCAAACCATTCAAACACGCTGTTACAACTCTATCAATAATTGAAAAGCTTTAGCTTTTTCAAGGAAAAAGAGAGTAGGAGAAGCATGAAGAATTGCAACAACAGAAAACTGTGCGCTATTACCGCTATACCGTGCTGAAACTAATTGTTTTTAAGTTGGAAAAGACGTGAAAACGAATATGAGTTATTCCGGAGTACTACATTAATTAGTAGTCCCCTAGATTTTTCGTTGTTTTAGGGTGTTTAGTAAATGGCAAAAATGACGCTTCGATCACTTTTAGCGTTTTCGATAAGTGAAAACGGATAGCGGATTATATTAGCGGATTGTCAATAACATATTCAGTAAGCAGGTTTGACTAGCGGAATAAGTTGGCGATTTGTCGGAAGATGTTGATAATTTAGCTGTTTGGCGATAAAAAGGTAGAAAACAAGCGTGTTTGACATTTAGCGGTTAGTGGATAGTGGATTATGTTAGCGAGTTGTCAACAAGGAATTTAGTCAGTGAGTTTGACTAGCGGAATAAGTTGACGGGTTGCCAGAAGATGTTTGGTAATTTAGTTGTTTGGCCATAAAAATTAGTAGAAAACATCCTTTTTCAAAACGCTAATCCAAAACTCTCCTATTTGCAGCGTTTTCATTTCAACGGTTCTGTCCAAAAATGCTAGGCTGAACAACTATTTACCAAACAATGTTTTTGTTTATTGAAAACGCTAAAGTGGGTCAAACCACCATTTTTTGGCTGAATCACCATTTTCCAAACACCCCCAACGTCATATTTCAAAACTCTAACTCAAAACTCTCCTATTTGCAGTGTTTCCGTTTCAGCGTTTCCGCACAAAACAACTATTTATCAAACTGACATTTTTCGGCTGAAATGCCATTTACCAACCTCCCCATAGGATATTTACAAAAGTAAAGTAATGAAAAAGTGGGAAATAGAAAGTAAAACTACGGTTGCTTCTACTATAAAAAGAAAATGGTTTTTAAAGTGATTTTTTAGAAAGTGCTTAATAGTAAAAGTTGATATAGTGTATGAGAAAAATATTTATGAAAAATTAAAATTTGATAGTGTTTAATAAAATAAGTGATTTTTATGCTGTGTAATGGAAAAAATGAAAAGCAATTTACAAACACCCCTTCAATTGCTTCCATCTTTTAAGTGTTTAATTTAAGCATAAGCTATCCCTTGGAAACGTTCGGTTCAACTTTTTAAAGCCAAAAGCTGAAAAACACTTTTTTATTTTTTCGCAAACACTACCTTAAAAAGATGAGATATTACCCAAAATAGGACTAAAACAGTTAGAAATTTCCAAATTAGGACTGCCATATTTTTATTCCACAAATAGGACTAATTACTGCCATGTTTTGGCAGTACCAGACTTCAAACATGTCAGTATTTTCTAAACATGACAGTAATTAGTCTTATTTTGAGAATAAAAAAAATGACAGTCCTATTTTGGAATTTTGAAACTGTTTTAGTCCTATTTCGGGAACTTTCCTTAAAAAGATTAGATAGACCACACTTCCACAGTTATAAAATAAACATAGACCAAACATCTACAAAACCAGACCAAACTAGTTCAAATCAGACTAGAGTTAAACATATCAGACCAAATAAAAAAATTCACTCCAATTAAAAACATACCAGACCTAAGAATTATTTCTATATAGTAATAATTACGTGGTATATAAGAAATAGCTATAAGTAAAACATACACAAATTGCCTAAATAAGAATGGTTATGTCTTATTTACAAACATTTAGGAGTCATTTGAATTGGTTCTGATGTTTCTTTCAAAGCATAAAATGTTCCAAATCTGGGAGTTAATGAGTTCTATTTACCCTCACTAAAAACTTAAGAAGAACATTTCATCAGTAAAATAAAAATATATAAACTTCTTAAGATGTTTGATGTTAAACCTAGGAACTCCAATTAAATAATACTCTCGTTCTTTATTAAACAATAATATACTCCCTCCTTTCTCGAATACTTGGCCCTCTTTCCATTTTGGGATGTTCTCTATTAGTTGTCTCTATTTTCACTTTTGATAAGTTTTTTCAATAAATATACTCATTTACCCTCATTCTCTTTCATACTTTTTCATTCTCTTTCCTACTTTTACCTTTACACACAACCCACTACACCTTTTATCATACCCCTATTAATTCCTTCTTAAATCTTGTGCAAAGACTATACTCCCATCTATTAGAGAACAGAGGGAGTAGGTATTTTTTTTGAGAGCTAATATGTCATTGTTCTTTTTTTTGGAACAAAAACCTAAAAAGCTTAAATTTAGATTCAAATATACCCTCTATGAGGCAAAAACTTGGGATAATAAAATAGTTCTGTAATTTCGTGTCTTCTACATCTTAATATTACCCGTTTTTCAAGAAGACCTAAGACCACAAGTTGAAAAAAGTTGCTCCGTATGACAAAAAATCATAAGTAATAAACAGGTTCCAATTATCCGATATTTTTGTCTTGAACTTCTAGATCATTAGGCGTCTTCTTCCTTTTCTAATAGCGACATACAATTATCTAGAATAGGTTGTTTACTCTTGCGGCAAAATCTCGTGTTTTAATTGGGGCAGTAGAAATGATGATTTTCTTCATTATATTTTCTCCCATATCTTCTATTGAGCATAGCATCAATTATCAACTCACTTAAGTACAAACCAGACAATGATTAATACCAAGACATTGCCCTAAGTAGTACGTAGTACTACGTAGCTTATATTCAACACACATACCTCAGCTCTATCATTATTATCATTAAAAATCAGTTGATTAGCATATTATTGGAAATATTGTATCATTTTTAAGATCTAAAAAATACGGACGATAGAGTACATTCCCATATACCCCAGGAGTATCGTAATCAACGGAAAGAGACTTCAGGTTATACTGACATCCAATAAGAAGTTCCAACCATGGCCGACCTCGACGCATGAAGTCGGGTCACGACAAAAGACCACAAATCGACAAAGTATGGAACCACGATCGAGGCGGATCTCGACCCCCGAGGTCGGCGCAACATCAATCTCCCAGATCATCGAGATAAGGCTAAATTTGAGGCCGACCTCTAGCACAGCGAGGTCAGTACTCGATCTGACCTTGTATACGATCACTAAGTCAAAGAAAGTCAATAGGAACGAAAGAATAACCGCTACAGCACAAACCAGAGACCAGAAATGAGTTCCCCATTACATGCAAGTTCACTATACCTGAGCTCTGACCTCACGGAGCTCGGGCTACAACCATGTCACCAACGCTATGCAAACACCACATCACTCCAACAGTTGGGAATAAGAAATATTCTGGATGGCACGCGTGTGGCGCACACTTGTGTTCTGGTATGCAAAGGACAAATTCAGTTATGCACAGCGCCAATCAACCAGTTGTCCAAGTAATCTCTTCAATCACCTTTGACGTGTGTCACCTTCTTATTACACTAGTACAATTGTTGCCAAATATTTTCTTCTCCAGTATAAATATCACCTTCCAATTTGTGGAAAAAAGATCCGAAATTCTCTGTGCAATGATCTTGTTGTTACTCTGTCAAAATTTCTACATGATCTTACTTAGCACTTTTTGATCTCTCCTACTTTTGGGATTCCGACTAGCCCAGGGTCGACAATCCATCAACCAAGTACTCCCTCCGTCCCAAAATGAACTTTTGGGAAGTTAATTTTTGGACCAAGGTCTAGCGCACCGTAGTAATTCAGATTACAAAATCTTCAAGGTTTAACAATTTTGTGCATTCCTTGATTTCCTTCATAGTGGAGTATATATTAGGGACTTGCTATGCTTTTAGAATCAAAATGTAACAGAAGACGAGATATTAGAGTAACTAGAAAACTTAAAGTTGTGGACAAAGTGGCTAGATCAGAACCCAAATATCACTGGTAGAAGTTTTTTGTTCTAAAAAATAGAATAACGATATATACCAAGGGTATATATATCCCTTCCCCATAATTAAACGAGCTAAGAAATGAAAAACTTTCTAGCTAGCTTTAGTGAAGCTGCCGCAGTTGCTGCCCTGGCCGCCTGGGTGGATGTTCCGATGAGACAGAGTTGTGTGAGGCCCCGGCAGACGGTGCAGAGAAGGCACCTAACATGTCGCCGGACAAGGAAATTGGCGGAGTGAACCAACCGGTCGCATTTCCGGCAAAGAAAGGCGTCGTCGGCCTTACAGTAGAGGGAGGCTGCCGATTCACACAGCTCGCATGAAACACTTGGAACAGTCAAACAAGGGGCTGCTATCCCCCTCTCTTCTGTTGATGATTTCCCCTTGCACATATTCTTGAACGTAGTATTGAATTGGGAGGAATATAAAGAGCTGAGGATGGCATTTATTTATACGGTTGGAGTTCATGAAATGGTGAGGCTCCCTTTGAGCATGCAACACACTTCAAATTATACTTTTCTACTCACCTACACGTATACTCTGTATTTGTTAAGACATGACTCTTATTATTAGTTAGCATTATAATGTCCAATTATTTCTCTCATACTCTTAAATGGTTTGGTAGGATTTTGAGTTAATTCTTTTATCCATTGACATTTAAGTCTAATTCTGATTTATTTCGCACACCTGATTTATGGCATCATATGTAGAGTCATAGAATGTTTTTACTTAGAAAGTTTTCCAAGTCTAGACCGGACCAAACTTAAACAGACAAAACTAGGTCAGACCAAACCAGACTAGACTTTCGTAGTTATAAAGTATATACAGAGATCAGGCATTTACCAGACTTAAACAAACCAGACTAGTCCAGACCAGCAAATTTCAGTCCAAGTAAAAACATCCTTATTGACTCATTTTCCAACGGAGAATTGCTCAACCGGATTTAAGATTTTGATTGAGAGGTCCTATTTTCCTAAAAAAAGGATGACAACCCATCCCTGAGGGCCCCCCAACCCCAACCAGACGGTACGCTGAGAGGATGTAAATTGGACTGTAATCCCAATCTGACAGATAGAGAGTGGGGCTTTGTCCTCGATAGGCCGGTACTTGCAGAAATCCTATGCATTTTTAGCATAGTAACCCCTCATCGCAGTTGTCGGGATTCTAACCCGGGACCTAACCCTTGTGGCACTCCCTTGCTACCAGTTGAGCTACGCCCACCGGTGAGAGGTCCTATTTTCCTCTCATTACTTTAGTACAAAAAGTAAATCATATAATAAGATTGTAGGATTGTAAGATATTGTTATCAGTTTGATCTTTTAAACTGAAACATCATATTTTAATACTACCTTTGGTCCAATAGATTTGCACTCTTTAAATTAGATGTGAAATAAGAAGTAAAAACAATATAATTGGGATTTGTACAGATGAGAGAAATGAGAAGAATCACAAATTAGTTACTTTATTGGAAAAGTCTAATGGGACAGAGAGAATATATAATTATTTATTTGGGAAAAAGTATAAAGTTGATATTTTCTTACTATATGATTATGGGCGGAACCAGTGTACTCAATTCGTATAAAGATTTTTTTTAAAAACAATTTTACACGCAATATTTTACTTTAAAATTGTAGTTTTTTTCTATATTTGGAGTGAGTGGGTGCCTAGGTTGCCCCTAGATCCACCCATGTATGTGGTAGTTGAAAGATGTAACAATATAGTTTTAACAATTTTTGTAGACAACTTCTCCATATGATTTATGTTCTCTTCTTGATTCGTTTACACATTTTTCATGGTCATTTCCCTCTTTGCAGGGACCGGCGCGCCGTAGTAGTCTTCGCCACTATAGCTTAATTGTAGCAAATTCTCAAGCCAGGATTCTGGTGTTCTTCCTCGGTCACAACCCATGGGTGCCTTAGCTTCATCCACAACATAAGAGTAAATCAACATTCTTCTTTCATGAATCATGATTCAGGAGGATGATATGCTTTTTCTACATGGGTCCTCGTCTGAATGAGGGGTCCACGTGAGAGAGTCCAGATTTATTGCTTGGGTCGTTTGAATCTATGAGTAGTATGCCATAGGCAGGGACGAAGGTAGGTATAGGGGTAAGGGGCTTGGCCCCCAACTTTTTTTTTTATTTTTTTTTTACTAGTACTGATAAAAAATCTCCGTCCCGAAAAGTTCGGTCAAATTTCCGTTTTTGGATGTCCTAAAAAGATTTGTCATTTCCATCTAATGTAATGAATATGTGCCTAAAGTTAATTCTTTCTCCTCTACACAAATTTCAACCACACAATATTTACTTTATTAATCAACGTGAAAGTCAACTTTGGCCAACCTTTTCGGGACGGTGGGAGTATTAAATATGAAATAATAAAAAAAGATTAGATCAGAACTACCTGATAGAAGCCTCTACTTGAGATACTTTCGGGTAGAATTTTTTTATGAAATTTTATATGCGTGTTTTTCATGTATTGTAGATTATATACATCACATTTCAGTTTAAAGTTCAATCAGGAAGTCAACTAAATAAATTATGGAAAAACACTGCATTTTTTATATATATTTTTGCGCAGTGTTTTTCAATATTTTATTTATATGACTTTCCGATTGAACAACAACAACAACATCCAAGCCTTAGTCCCAAAAGATATTGAAGTCGGCTAACATGAATCGATACATGATATCACCACCAAAAGGAAAAGAAAGAAAATAAAGATAAAAAAGATAAGCTATTATAAAAAGATAATATAAAAAGAGATAATACGAGATAATACGAGATCACTCTTCCACACGAATACCCATCCTCCACTTAGTTCTCTCCAAAGTCATGCCCTCATCCAACCCCAAAAGAAGCATATCACTTCGAACTCCCCTAACCCACGTCTTTTTGGGACTTCCTCTTCCTCTCTTCCCTGTCTCTTCTCCACACATCTCAACTCGTCTGACAGGTGCATCACTCGGTCTTCTACGCACATGACCAAACCACCGTAGGCGCGACTCCCGCATCTTATCTTCAATAGGTGCTACTCCCACCCTTTGTCTAATTGTCTCATTCACTACAAGAAATCATACATTTTGTGACGAAAATTTGTGTGACACACAAAAAATTGTCACATATTATTGAATTATTGTTACAAATCTCAAATTCATCACTATAAAATGACTTTTTATGACAATGCCATATATTGTCATTTATTGTATCACTTTTCGTCACTATTTGATATAAAATATGACAATAAACTCTTCTTTGTCACCTAAACTTTGAGTGCCAAAATATGACGTCAAATTTTTGGAGGGATTTTTTTTGGCGACAAAATTAATAAAATTAATGACGATGACTTGTGTCACATATGTTTTAATTATAATGACAAAATCATATTTCGTCATTAATTATTTGTATGAAATAGTGACAATATTATTTCGTCATTGATTTTCCTTTTTGTTGACGATAAATGCAAATGCGTCATAATTTTAGTATTTGGTAAAAATATTTTTGCTTCATTCAACGGTTGAAGTTTGCCAAGATTGAGTTGGGGAAATAGGAATAAGATTGGAAAAGTGTGCGAGTGATAATTTTTTTGATAAGATCTGATCTGGTAAAATAGGAACTAGTAAATATTATGCATTCTTACCCGTCATATTTTGAATGAGGGATTGTTATAATTGTAATGTAGTACATAAATTAAAGTACTTTTTTACTCTTGTCGTGTGTGATGTCTTTCGCATCAAATAAAGTAATAAAGTATCCCATTGACATTTGACATTGTAGTTACTAGTTAGTACGACGAAGTAATTAAGTTATCTATGCTTACTTTTTCGCCACTAGAATTAATTGAATCAGTGTCTAACATGTGACTTGTCACTAAAAAATGTGTTCTATTAGCATGGCAAAATTCATACTTCAATGACAAAACTATTAATAAAAAAGTGACGGTTTCGTTGTCACAAAAACTCATCAGTAATGGTGACAAACAATTAAAGTGTCACCAAAATCTTATTATTTAAGACGAAATATTTAGAAATATGATGAAACAAGTAACTTAATGGTGACATTTAGTATCTGTGTTGTCACCACTTCTGTAAGATTATAATGAGAATTGTCATGGAAAGTTATATTTTATTGACAATTTATGATTTTGTCATTGATTTTGTGAAATATTGGTGACAAAATTCATATTTAGATGACAAAAAGATCGATTTAAATATGACACATTTGGCGTCACGAAAAGTGATTAATAATGGTGACAAAGTGTTAAAACGTCATCAAATGTTACTTATTTGGTGACGAATTAAAAATTTATCACATACATCTAATACCACGGAGCTACGATGACAATCACTGTGACGCTCATAATTCGTCATATAAAAGTTTTTGTGACAAAAATTTAATTTTACGTGACGAAAAAAATTGTCACATTATGTTGAATTTCTTGTAGTGATTCCTCACGTGGTCCTTCTTACTATGCCCACACATCCAACGCAGCATGCGCATCTCTGTCATACTCATCTTTTGAATGTGACATTGTTTCACCGCCCAACACACCACGCCATACAGTAATGCAGGCGTAATTGTTGTCCTATAAAATTTAACCTTCAGTTTAGTCGGCATACCTCGATCACATAGAAATCCTGACGCACTCTTCCACTTCATCCACCATGTTCTGATTCTATGGGATACATCTCCATCTAACTCACCGTCCTTCTGAATTATGGAGCCCAAGTAACGAAACATATCACTGACTGGTATCTCCTTACCATCCAGAGTAATTCTGGTATTACCACTGCTTCTACCTCCACCAAACTTGCACTCCATGTACTCTGTCTTGCTCCGACTTAGTTTGAAACCCTTATTCTCCAATGTCTGTCGCCATACTTCCATCTTTGCTTTAAGACTTGATTGCGTCTCATCAATCAATACAATATCGTCGAAAAACATCATACACCACAGTATATAATCTTGAATTGACTTCGTAAGTTCATCCATGATTATGACAAATAAGAAAGGGCTCGGAGCCGATCCTTGGTGCACTCCGATAGTAATAGGAAACTCTTCAGTCCTCCCTACACTAGTACGGACACTTCTAATACAATCCTCATACATATCCATGATGATGTTGATATACTTGCGTGATATGCCTTTCCTAGTTAAAGCCCACCAAAGAACGTCTCGAGGTACCCTATCATATGCCTTTCTTAAGTCAATGAACACCAAATGCAGATCCTTATGAGCGTCTCTATACATCTCCATAAGTTGCCGAAGAAGGTGAATGGCCTCAGTTGTTGAGCGACATGCATAAAACTGAATTGATTCTCTGAAATCTTCACAGTTCTTTGAAGTCTTTGCTCAATCACTCGCTCCCAAAGTTTCATGGTGTGACTCATAAGCTTAATCCCTCGATAGTTGGCACATTCTTGTACATCACCTTTATTCTTAAATAAGGGGATAAGAGTACTCTTCCTCCAACTCATTAGCATCTTGTTATTTCTCCAAATCATGTTGAAGAAACTTCTTAACCACTCGACGCCTCTCTCTCCCAAACTTCTCCAATCCTCGATCGGTATGCCATCTAGACCCACTGATATCTTCCGTCCCATCGTCCTCAGAGCTTCTTTAACTTCCGTTGTTTGGATCCTTCTCACAAAATCACGATTTACCATACAACCTGGTATGGACAAATCACCGATATCTTGCGTTTTGTTCCCGTTGAATAGTGTATCAAAGTATGACCTCCACCTCTCTGTTATCTCTTTGTCGTCCATTAATATCCTCTGATCAACATCCTTCACACACTTAACTTTTGCAATATCTTGAATCCCGTGATCACGAAGACGAGCAAGTCTATAAAAGTGTATCAAAGTATGACCTCCTTCTTAGAACTCCTTGTTCACTTTCCATCGTGCTTTCCTTACAGATTTCTTTGCTTGTCTTTTAACCTCCTTGTATGCTTCGATGTTCTCATCACTCCAACGTGTCCCCAACTTTTTGTAGCAATCTCTTTTGTTCTTTATGCTTTGTTTCACCTCATCATTCCACCAAGACGTGTCCTTTTTAGGTGGCAGACATCCTTTAGATTCTCCAAGTACCTCCTTTGCCACTTTGTTAATGGTCAACTCCATTGATAACCACACATGATCCACATGTGTTTCATTATCAATATGCCTTACATCTTCACCGATCATTTTGTGTGTAAACCTTTGTGGAAGATCTCCCTTAAGCCTCCACCACTTTATCTTTGGCTCCACTTGTTGTTTAACTTGTCTTCTATGGTTCTTACCTCGAAAGTAGAGCACAAACGCCCTATGCTGAGTGACAATTCTCTCACAAGCCACTTTGTTAATGGTCAACACTCTCACCTAGATATCGGACAAATCACCGATATCTAGCGTTTTGTTCCCGTTGAATAGTGTATCAAAGTATGACCTCCACCTCTCTTTTATCTCTCCATCGTCCATTAATATCCTCTGATCGACATCCTTCACACATTTAACTTTTGCAATATCTTGAGTCCTGCGATCACGAAGACGAGCAAGTCTATAAATATCTTGCTCTCCTTCCTTAAAGTCCAACTTTTCACACAACTCCTTGTTCACTTTCCCTCGTGCTACCCTTACGGCTTTCTTTGCTTGTCTTTTAGCCTCCTTGTATGCTTCTATGTTCTCATCACTCCAACTTGTCTCCAACTTTTTGTAGCAATCTCTTTTGTTCCTTATGTCTTGTTTCACCTCATCATTCCATCGAGACGTGTCCTTTTTAGGTGGGAAGACATCCTTTAGATTCTCCAAGTACCTCCTTTGCCACTTTGTTAATGGTCAACTCCATTGATAACCACACATCATCCACATGTGTTTCATTATCAATACGCCATACATCTTCACCGACCATTTGGTGTGTAAAGCTTTGTTGAAGATCTCCCCCAAGCCTCCACCACTTTATCTTTGGCTCCACTTGTTGTTTAACTTGTCTTCTATGGTTCTTACCTCGAAAGTCAAGCACAAACATCCTATGCTGAGTGACAACACTCTCACCTGGAATAACCTTACAATCAATGTGGCTAGTTCTCCAAGTGGTCCGTACTAAGAAGTAGTCAATTTGGGTACTATTAGCTCCACTTTTATGGGTTACAAGGTTAGAGTCTCTTTTCTTAAACCAAGTGTTCATTATAGCCAACTCATACGTCAAAGCAAAATCCAAAATCTTCTTTCTCGCCTCATTCCTAGTGCCAAAACCATGTCCGCCATGAATACTCTCAAAGCCATCACGACTCGAGCCCACATGCCCGTTGAGGTCACCTCCTATGATCAACTTCTCTCCCCTTGACACTCGTCGCACCACATCTTCAAGATCTTCCCAGAACTGTTGAGTTGTAGATGCATCTAATCCCACTTGTGGTGCATAGGCACTTACTACAGACACACTCTCACCCCTTATCACCAATTTAATGCTCATGATGCGATCGTTCTTCCTGAAGACTTCTACCACATCATCAACATAGTCACACGCCACAATAATGCCTACCCCATTTCTGGTCTTATCTCTCCCTGAATACCACAACTTAAAACCTCCGGGATTAATCTCGCGTGTTTTCTCTCCAACCCATTTAGTTTCTTGCACACACATAATGCTGATATTTTTCTTCTCCTCATAACCTCGACTACCTCGGATGATCTGCCTGTAAGAGATCCACCATTCCATGTCCTAAAACGCAATCTAGCACTCCGGCCACCTTTTGTTCTTAGCCCCATATCGGACCCCACCATGCCCTTGCATATTTGACATCATCCCCGGGCAATGGGATGATGCACTGCTTCCGGGCTGCGACCTAGCAACCTTAGCATTCTTATCACCACACCCAGGTCTATGACGTGTAACACGCCCTTGCATATTTGACACCACCTCCATGCGGAGGGATGACGCGTCACTTACGGGTGATGACCTAGTATTAGCGATGATCATATTATTGGCCATCACACGCCTACCACAACACCCTCCTCCTTTATCCTGGCTTGAGACACACAACAACAACAACATCCAAGCCTTAGTCCCAAAAGATATTGGGGTCGGCTAACATGAATCGATACATGATATCACAACCAAAAGGAAAAGAAAGAATAAAGATAAAAAAGATAAGCTATTATAAAAAGATAATATAAAACAAGATGAATATACATAAAAATGATAAAATAAAAAGGCTACAAATAATGCTTATATATATAAGGATAAAAAACAAGGAAAAAAAGATGAGGGAAAAAGATTATACGAGATCACTTCTTCACGCGAATACCCGCCCTCCACTTAGTTCTCTCCAAAGTCATGCCCTCATCCAACCCCAGAAGAAGCATATCACTTCGAACTCCCCTAACCCACGTATGTTTGGGTCTTCCTCTCCCTCTCTTCCCTGCCTCTTCTCCACACATCTCAACTCGTCTGACAGGTGCATCACTCGGTCTTCTACGCACATGACCAAACCACCGCAGGCGTGACTCCCGCATCTTGTCTTCAATAGGTGATACTCACACCCTTTGTCTGATTGTCTCATTCCTCACGCGGTCCTTCCTAGTATGCCCACACATCCAACGCAGCATGCGCATCTCTGCCACACTCATCTTTTGAATGTGACATTGTTTCACCGCCCAACACTCTACGTCATACAGTAATGCAAGCCTAATTGGTGTCACAAGTCTAATTGGTGGCTTGGGACACATGATACCAAAAAATGATATCATGGCGGAGTTGACTTTCCGACTGAACATTAAAATGAAATTTGATATAAATACTATTTACAGTGTCTTCACATACGAGTATGTTTGAAGTCATATTGGACCGTGGAGGGAATAAGGCTAAAAGACTATAACACCAAATAAGCAGTACGATGTAATAATAGACTCGATCGGGCATATATAACACCGTGGAGTACTAGTCAAGGCCCAATGTATGATTGACCTCGATTTGAATTCATTTAGGCCTGCAACTTACCATAATCCATACGACAGGACATAAATTCTACTCTCGGTATTTTATTAATTAGTTATCGTTATACTACGTATTTTTCATGGGATTTAAAAATTAGTTATACTAATGAGTCTCTAAACTAAAACTCACAAATAAGACTACTAGTTTTTAAGTTCCCCAAATAGGGTTAAACATTGATTTTCTAAAAAAATCCCCAAATAGGGATAAACATTGATTTTTTACCCTAAATACCCCTAAGTGTATATAATTCATAATGAATTGTTTTAATTCGTAATAAAATCATATAAAAAAAATAAAAAATCGTACAAAAATAATAAAAAATCAATAAAATATTTATCAAATAAAAATTTAAAAAATATATATATATATTTTTAAAAAAATAATAAAAATGAGTAAAATCCCATGAAAAAATATGAATACCTTTCGCACCGCCTCCCAGCACCACCACCTCAGATCGGTGAAAGTTCTGCCACTTTTGTAAAAAAATGTCATTTTTTTTTGAAAATGTCAAGAAAATGACATTATTACTCTTCATTGTGCCAACATTTTCATTGAATCTGTCATTATTATGGCGATACCAAAATTGTTGGCAAATTTTCTCCGGTGATGGGAGCTTGTGGTACTGGGGTGGCAAAGGCGGCATTTTTTTAAGTTTTTATTTTTTTTTTAATTTTTTATAATATTTTATTAATCTTTATCTTTTTTTTACGGTTTTTTTATGTTTTATGATTTTAATATGAATTAAAACATTTCAAAAGCTACAAGAGTGTATTTTTGTAAACACATATAAATAGTCCTATTTGGGGAATTTAAAAAATGTAGTCATATTTGTGCAATTTTGCCACGTTTTAGTCCTATTTAGTGAATTGACTCATTAAAAATAAAGTAACTATATATATGTCTATACCGAATATTTAAAAACAAAAATAAAAAGAAAATAAAATGAAGTGGAGAATATGAACCAAAATAATTAGCGTTTGGTAATAAATACTCCGTACATTTTTCGTAAATTGCGTCAAACCACATGTCACAAACTTAAAACTATCAATCATTAACAAAAACACCATTAAGCTTAATTTGCGATCTTGAAAGTTAAAAACGGCATCATCATCCCCATACCTCCCTCCCCTTATATCGGATATGGCAATAACAAGTAAGCAACATGGCCTTCTCCTCCTCGTCATCATCCTTATCCTAGCCAAAAATAAAGTTGCGTCGTCATCGGTAAAGTCAAAACAAGACTCAATCTTCCTGAGCGTCGCCGGCTCGTTTGCCGGTGCAGAGAGTGGCGGATCGATGGACATAGAGGATGCGGCGGAGGAATTGATGATGGAATCGGAAGTGTCAAGGAGATTTTTGTCCCAGAGCAGATACATAAGCTACGCCGCCATGCAGAAGGACAGCATCCCCTGCAATCGTCGCGGGGCTTCCTATTATAACTGCCGATCACACGCCGCCGTTCGCCCCTACAACCGCGGCTGCAGCAAGTTCACCAGATGCGGCGGAAGATATAATTAATTAATTAGCGACGTTAGCTATAATCACATTAACATGCATGTACTTACGTAAATAATCCGACATGAACTCTGAGGACAATGTTGCATGCATGCATTGCAAGCATGTGTAAGGATGAGCCGTGCAAGAATGGTAACTTACGTATTTAAGCAGATTTATCGATTAATGTTTGAATCTTATCAATTCAAATTTTGAAGGAGTGAGATACAAAGTCAAATGATTTACGAGTGAAATAAGGTGCATACATTAACCATTTTTAAAACATAGGTATAAAGTCAAATATCACCAAAAAAATGTGATACAAAGTCAAATTCTATCAAATTTATGACATTCTATATATTGTTTGAATGTATATTTAATTTAAAATATTATGATTTGTATCATAAGTAGGTTAAATACGGTACGAGAATTAAACGAGATTAAATATGTACGGTTTTATTCGTTAACAAGAATGAAAAAGAGGTACAAATTTTGTATTATTAACATATTTCACTTGATATGTATACCAGTCTTTGTGTGCATTGTATATTGACCAAACGTAGGTATTCACTTTCATCAATATGGTATATACTATCGTATTAGATTTTAATGAGATAAATTAGGGTCAAAATATCCCCTTAATTGTCTTGCATTCCATGGTAGCAAATATACACACACGTGAGTTCCTAAACTAGAGCCTTGGCCCAACTAATTACAATAAATATAATACAATAAATAAATTAGTGTACAAGCCCAAAATATATTGTCTAAAAGGAATTCTCTTAGGGTATGTTTGGGAGTTGAGTTTTGGAGGGGAGGGGATGTTTAACCGGTGTTTATGACTCTCTCTTTCATGTTTGGAAGTTAAAAAATATGAAGGAGATGATTTTGGAGAGGTTTTGTAATCCTCCAAAACCCTTCAAATGCGCAATTTTCAAGTTTCCTCAAATTGGAGAATTTTGAAGGATAACTAATTAAATCACAACTTTAGCTCAATTATATATATATATATATATATATATATATATATATATTTATATATATATATATAAACATAAACTCAATTTTTTGAATTCGTCATATATGTGAAGTGATATTAATTACTATCTATAATTCATTCAAAACCTTTATCTTTAATTTCAAACTTGATACTCCCAAACAAGAAGAAGGGTTTCCAACCCTTTCCCTCCTCTTCCCTTCCAACAACTAACCTTCAAAACCTTTCCCCTCTCATTCCCTTCAAACTCCCAAACATACCCTTAGGGTGTGTTTGGGAGTTGGATTTTGGAGGGGAGGGGGAAGGTTAATGGGGGTTTATATCCCTCCTTTTCATGTTTGGGAGTTTAAAAAATTGGAGGGGATGGTTTTGGAGGGTTTCGTAACCCTTCAAAACCCTCCAAATGCTTAAGTTTTAAGTTCCCCCAATTTGGAGGGTTTTGGAGTATAATTAACAAGATAGTAATTTAAGCTAAGTTAAAAATAAATAGTAGCTCAATGATTTGAATCCGTCATATCTTAAAGTGATTTTAATTATAATTTCTTCAAAACCCTTCTTCTTCCAATTTTATTCACCCTCCTTCCTTTCCCTCCAACAACATACCTCCAAAGTCTTCTCCTCTCCTTCCTTCCAAACTCCCAAACATACCCTTAAGGGTGTGTTTGGGAGTTGAGTTTTGGAGGGGAGGGGAAAGTTGATGAGGGTTTATAGCCCTCCTTTTCATATTTGGGAGTTTATAAAATTGGAGGGAATGGTTTTGGAGGGCTTTCATGACCATCCAAAACCCTCTAAATGCTCAAATTTTAAATTCCCTCAATTTGGAAGGTTTTGAAGAATAATTAATGAAATGGTAATTTAAACTCAATTAAAAATAAATATGAGTTCAATTATTAAAATTCGTCATACATATCTCAAAGTGATTTTAATTATAATTCATTCAAAAACTATTTTCTTCCAAATTTATTACTCTCAAATACAAAGAAGGAATTTCTCACTTTCTCCTCCTTTTCCCCTCCAACGACATACCTCTCGAGCCTTCCCCTCTCTTCCCTCAAACATACCTAAGACTCTGAATACAAATATAATAATAGGAGGGCGATTTGACATTCTTTAAAAATGAATTTCATTAACTTGAACGTCAGAGTGCCGCATGCTTCTAGCTAGCCAATGGCCTCTTTTTCTACAGGAACAATCAAATAATAGACAAGTACAATATTTTTCTTGTACAGAGGCGTAACAACACAAATGACCATGCTAAATAAAACGAGAAAAGTGCACTACATTTTTCTTGTTATTTAAACATGAGAACATACGTCAAAACTATACGTCACTACAAAAAAAAGGAAAAATTGACAAGAATAATCCCACATTTCACTGGTATTCTCATAATAATCCCACTTTTAAATAATCCCAAAATAATCTCACCTTTACACCTCATCTTCTTTCAATGGACCTTGACCAAGTTCTTTTACCTTTTTTAAAAATCTTATATAAATAATCTCACATTTATAAGGATATGATTAAAAAGTGAAAGGTGAGATTATTTATATAATTTTCGAAGAAAGAGTAAACAACATGGTCAGGGTCCAATGAAAGAAGAAGAGGTGCAAAAGTGGGATTATTTTGGGATTATTTAAAGGTGGGATTATTATGAGAAGACCAGTGAAATGTGGGATTATTCTTGTAATTTTTCCAAAAAAATACGGGTTCAGTATATGACGAATTAATGTCAAAAATTTCTGTTAATTTTGTGTTTTTTATAGTGCATATTACACTAAAAAAATATCATAGAATTCATACCAATAATCTAAATGATCTACAATTATAATTCATACTAAAGAAATTAATATACTCTCAAACACATTCATATAAATAGATTACATGAAATGGTGGTAATGTTACTGTTTGTATCCTCATCCCATCTACCTCACCTATATATCGTTTTTCTTGCTTCTTCTGGAAATCGTCATCTTCCTCATCGGCTGTCCTCTATCCTCTTCTTTGTTTTTTCAATGTTTCCATATCCGTCGAACGCTTGATTTTTTTCCGTATCATGTTATAATCTTTTACATCATTTCCCTCCTTGTCCTAATGCTTTAACATATACTCCCTCCGTCCCGGAATTATCTTCATACTTTCCTTTTCGGTCTGTCCCAAATTTATCTCCTCTTTCCTTTTTTAGCAAAGAATTTGTGGTTCACAATCATTCTTACACATTCTTACACATTTCTCTTTCCTTTTCATTTTCATATGGCCGTATACTTCTTCTTCTCTTTAATCTTTCTCATATGGCCATACTCCTCTTCTCTTTTGTAAATATTAAATTGTATGCTTGGTAAATTCCCTAAATTTAAAGGTCAAGAACAACTAAATTTAGAGGAGCGAATTTATTTTGTCCTAATACCAAAAAGTAAAACACCAACTCCCAAAAACTAAATTTAGAGGAGCGAATTTATTTTATCCTCGATCAGATTCTTGATGCTCCCCCTTATGGAAAAGAAAAAAAGGTGGAGTACTTTAACCTCAAAAAAAGGTTGATGCTCAACCAATTGGAGTATAAAGCACATTATCAAGCGTTTGTTTAAGAAGGAAAAAATATGTTGAGTGTGGGGGTGGGGGGAGTTAGAGTGAGTGGCCAGGGATGAGTATGTATATGCAGAAGAAGAAAAAATGGAAGGGGAGGTGAGGGTGATGAAGGATTATAATATTAAACAAACGTTACCTCTGTTTCATCGTTTAATCCGTTTTTGTGAACTTATTTACAAGTTTGGATTATTTGTAGGATTTTTTCCGTAACAATTATTAGTGTAGAAACGTTAAAAGTATAAATTATTAGTATGAATTTCGCCAAAAAATAGAGCTAATTATCAAAATAGGACTAAAAGTCATTCACTTTTCACAAATAGGACCAAAAAATGAACTATGTTTGCATAGGACTAATTATGTGTACCTTGGACAATTATACCCTTATAGCTATTAAAATGTTTTAATTCCTAATAAAATAATAAAAAATAATAAAAATTCGTAAAAAATACTAAAAAATTAAGAAAAACATTTCGATATTAAAAATTTAATTATTTTTTTTCAAAAAATTAAAAAAATTAAAAAAAATTAAAAAAAATTAAAAAAATAAAAACTCAAAAAAAAAAAAAAATCGCCGCCGCCTCAGCACCACCACCTCCAGTCACCAGGGGAAAAAATGCCAAGTTCATTACGAATGCCATATTTATGGCAGAAAAAAATGAAAATGTTGGCATTCGAAAAGAGAAATATGCCATTTTTTTGGCATTTTCAGAAAAAATAGCATTTTTCTGGGAAAATGGCATTTTTTCATCGGCCGGAGGTGGTGGTGCTGGGAGGTAGTACAGGCGGTGGGAAAGGCATCCATATTTTTTTAAATTTTGTTTACGGAGTTTTACTATTTTTTATTAATTTTTTTAAAAATAAAATTATTTAAAAAAAAAGTTTTTGAATTTTTTATTTTATAAAATTTTTATAAATTTTTTAATTATATTTTTTACGAATTTTTGATTTTTTTTGAATCTATTATGAATTAAACATTTAATTATGGCTTTTGACTATTTTTAATTCATATTTAATGGAAGGGTAAGAATGGAATGCAAAAATAGGTATGTTTCCAATAGGGCTCATATGGTTCTATTTTGGAATAAAAACATAGCAAGTCCTATTTTAGGTTTTTGCCATAGTTTTAGTCCTATTTGAACTAATTTCTAAAAAATATTGTATGGAAGTGAATGGAAGAACCGAAGAATGACTCACAAATACGATCGATTCCCTATGACATTTTGTTAAAGTATTTGTCCCACACCGGAAAGCTATAAAACAATAAAACATTACATACGATTTTGAGTTACTCCTCCTATTAGGTTGACCTATTAGGATGGAACCCGGGTCTTGACATGGTATCAGAGCCAATTCTGGTTGTGATTTGATTGCTTGTTAGCACCCATGATTACGGGTAGCATGTTAAGGGTCTGTATGGTCCATTTATACACTCCGATATTGTTCACATCGGAAAGTTATAAAACAACAAAACACTATTTAAACTTTGAACTACTTCTGCTATAAAGTTGACCTTTTGAATGGAACGCCCGGTCTTGACACATTTTAAACAGGGATCAATCAGTTTGTAATTGAGGGATGACTCACTAAAATACACTTGAATATTCGCATACTACGAATATTTGTCGATAATTATTCCATTCTTGTTCGTGACCCAATTCTTTATTTTTATATCTTTATGTTTGAGTGAATTAGCATAAACATATATCGTAACATATTCAAAAGGATTATTAACGGAATACATCTCCAATTATTATCAAATTCACAAATCTCCTTTTCATTAATTTTTATACACGGTATATAAAAATAGTTTTTTTTTTCAAAAATATCACTGAAATAAAAGTTATTTATAAAAATGACTAAAAATTACGGAGTATTATACTATGGTATAAAGTCATGGTCATTTATAAATTAAAAGGTCTCATTTTTGTATAAAGTCACATTTTTATAAACAAAATTTATTTTCATCATAATTTTGTAATTATTTCTTATATAAAATACCCAAACTTTATGTTTTTTCATAATTATACATAAGCACTAAAGATTTTATCACAAACAATCAAACAAAAACATCAATAAAACTTTGTAAATACTACGTATCATTTTTGTAATTAAGAGTTTTGAAACAACTATATTTCATTCATATGAGTCACATCACTATTTGAAGTCTAAAAAAGAATTTTCTTTCAATGCCACATTTTGTCTATAATTTCAGTAATATTTTGGAAAAAATCCTATATCTGAAGTCCAAAAGTATAACAAGAAAACTGTATGTCATAGCTATATAAACTTATAAGCTAAGGACGTACACATTTACTAAAGAGATAAATTGTTGGAACTTTTTCTTCTTCTTTCATTTCTATAGGCCTAGGCCCGAGGGCTGGGGCCAGGCAAATGGTTCATGTGCAACCGCCATCTCATGCATCTTTTGCTATCTTTGAACAACAAGTACCAACACACAAAATGAATACACACTGAGCATATATAGAAGCCGTGTTACATGCATGCATGCAATCACCATTCCTGCGTGAATTGAAGATTCTTCATTCCCATAAATGGAAAAGGAAACAATTAATTAAACTTATTATTAAAAGAAAAAATGAAAGTCTCCATTGTTATGGTGGGAGGATATGAGCTTGGCATGGAAGTAGGGTCTCAAGAACCCATCCTCCAAATGAAAGAAAGAATCCAAAACCATCTTGGAGTTCCCATGGCTTCCCAAACCCTCTCAGTTTTTGGGTGGGAACTAATGGATGGACTCGACATTGAAGATTACCCCTTCATTTCCCATGGCACAAAGATTGATCTGACCATCAGTCAAACACCTGAAAGTCAACCAGCCCCTGACCCTGACCCTCATCAGCTCCACAGTACTAAGATCAACATAACCCTCAAATTCGCTGCCCGAAAGCTACACATAGAAGCCGACACGGTCAACGACACGGTCAGAACCCTAAAGGAGAAAATCCACATAATAGACGGCACTCCAATAAAGAGAATGGCTTTGTTCTTCTCCGGGAAAGAGCTCGAAGATGAGGACCAAAGCTTGGGGGAATGCGGTGTCGTTCGCCCCTTTTCGGAGGTCGTCGTGGGCGTAAAGGCCGTGTCGTTACGGTCCGTGTCGACCGGCCCGCCCCCGTCGAGAAAGATTAGCTTTGCGGTGAAGACTTCCTCGACGTTGCTTAACGGGGCAACTATTCCGGTGGAGATGAGCGATTTAAGCACGATTAAGGAGTTAACGCGCACGCTAATCACGGGCGAAACGCTGCCCGAGGATGAGTACATCTTCATTCATAAGCAGAGGATTATGAGGGAGCATTGCAGCCTGCGTTGGCATGGTGTTGAGAATGGGGAGTGCCTCTATGTTTTCAAGGGAACCGTCAGCAGAGGAGAAGGCTAGCTCATGCAATTAATTATGTTCCACACTTCCCCTACTATCTATATAACCTAATTAAAATAGTGTTTAGTTATTCATATTCATAATGTCACTGATGAGGCCGATCTGTGGCTAATGCATGCATTTGGCACTTTAGTTTAGATCATTGATATGTATCCACCATTCCAACCCAGTTTGTTGTAAGGTTATCGTACCTAGTAAGAGGTATCGAGTTCGAAACCCACTAGGCACATAACGGTTTGAAACTCAATAGAGTGAGTTTCAGCTCTGATTACTCCAAACCCCGAGACCCCCTCCCTCAGACGTCCCCTGGAGTAAAAAAAATTTGGTTGTGATCACATGTTGTGATTACTATAGAGTCAATTACCTAAATAGGACTAAAAAATGGTCAAATTAGACAAAGAGGACTACATTTTTTAAAGTCCCATAATAGGACTATTTATGAGTGTTTGGACAAATATACCCTTGTATCTTTTGAAATGTTTTAATTATAATAAAATCATAAAAAATCGTAAAAAATAAAAATATCGTAAAAAAATAATACAAAATTAGTAAAATATTTACGAAATAAAAACTACTTTTTTTTAAATAAAAATCGTAAGAAAAATAATAAAAATCGTAAACATTATTTGCAAAGGTTAGAAAAAAATTAGTTTTTAAAATTTTTATTTATAAATATTTTTATTAATTTCTATTATTTTATTATGATTTTTTATTATTTTTTACTCCCTCCGTCCCAAATTGATTTCCAAAGTCAACATTTTTTCGTCAACTAATGTTAAAGTTAAATCGTTCATATAGATAAGTAATTCAATTTTTAATAATTAAAATTTACATATTTAGAAATTACATTAAAATCTCTTCAAAGTTGCAAACCCCAAATTAGAATATAATTAAAAATTGACATCCTAATTAAGTGAATAAAGTGAAACTGTTTGGCAAAGAAAAATTCAAATTTGCAAATCAATTTAGCACAGAGGTAGTACGATTTTTTATTATTTTTTATGATTTTACTATGAATTAAAACATTTAATTATGAATTATACCCTTAGGGGTATTAAGGGTAGAAAATAAATGTTTAGTCCTATTTGGAGAATTTAAAAAGGGTGACAACTCTGGTACCTTTCTTAAAAATGGGGTACCGTACCTACCATTAATTTGATTGGACCACACCATTTTATCATTTTTAATTTAGATTTAAATAATTCAACTGCTACATTCTCATTGGTCCATGTGGACAAAGGTATGGTACCTTATGGGTACCATAGAATCTACCTTTAAAAAGTAGTAGTCCCATTTGTGCTTGTTGGTCTAAAATAGGATGCTCGTAGGCTTTTAGGAAAGCTACGTACGACACTCAAGTAGGAATTAAGAAAGTAATACGAGAATGGAAAGTTGCAAAGAGAATTTGGTAGCCAGAAATAGCATATCAAAATCGCTCCCTCTAATTTGAATTACAACCCGCCTTTTATAGGTGTATACAATTAATCGTAATCGCTACCAATAATAATGACTAATTAACTACAACATTAATACGAAATTAAGTACGTAATTAATAGCGCATTAATTGCTTGACGATTACTCTTCCGGGCTTGGAGATCGGCCGGACTGGCAGGCTCCCTTCTGGGCTGGCTAGCAGGCTCCAGGTTGTGGACTTGGATCCACGGGTCCAAGTTCGGGACTTGGGCTGATTAGGCTCTGGACCTAGTTCTATAACTCCATTATGAGCCCCCCCACTCCCTTAGTCGAGTAGTAGACTCGGCTAAGAGGGAGTAGTCCAAGTCAGTTGTCCATGTTGGGGAGATGCCTCATTAAAAACCTTCATTAGGAAAAAACCCAATGGGAAAAAAATCCTAATGAAGGGAAAAAGAGTACATCTGACGCCCCCAAGATGAAGCATGAGGTGAGATCCTCAGTCTTTATTGCAGTGGTCGCCATCAGCGAATAGGATGGCTAGAACTGTTCTTCTCGTTAGGCTCAGACTCGTCAGGTTCGTCATTTGCTTCCTTGAAGACAGTAAGACCCTCAGTCCCCCACTTCATTCAGTTGTACCTACACATAAATAAAATTAGTGTAGAATAGAGCATTTGGCCTGGTGTCGAACCACGGTTCAGTGTGTAAGTTAGTCGGACTCAATACTTGAAAAGAGTGACATCCAGTTCCCAAGTTAGGCCTCAACCTAGTCTCCGAAAGAAAGATTAAATCCGCGAGTAAGTGAGTCGGACTCCTCACTCGAACGAATTGTGAGAGGTATTGGCCCTATGGGCCTTGGCCTTCTTCTCCAATATTACCCGGGACTTGGGCCTTTACCATTTGGTTATCACCCATCCCATTTGCTTTCTTACTTCACCCATTCCTTTGTGTTCGGCCCCTTTACTTCTTTTAACCTACTTACCATGTTGGGCTTTCCCTTGACCCGCCTATTTATTCCATTCATCTGTCTTTGCCCGATGAGTAAGCCGCATTTCGTAACCCTAGTTCTAGAGCCTTCCTGTTAGAGAGAGAGAGGTTATGACTTATCTCTAGTTTGTATCCTTCTTCCGAACCTCTCTTCATCTTCTTTGTGTGTGTGAGTGCTCTGAAAGTTCTAGGGAGAGGTTAGAGAGGGTAGCTGGGTTTGGGTCTGGGTTGTGGTTCCTCTTTGGTGGTGGTTCTCGGTCCGGTAGGTCCTTCGTGGTGGATGTGAGTTGTTAATGAACCTCCGGGTTCGTGTGGCTGGAGACCTGAGCTAGAAGATCTATCAACCTTACAGTGGTATTAGAGCCTGGTTCTCGTCGTCTCTTGCCGAAAAGTTCCACCGGAAACCCAGCAGCTACTCACCTCCAACGACGTCGGCTTCCTCTTCTTCGTGCATGGTAAGTCGGATAACCCCCCTAGATATCGCTCAGGTAAATTGGCTTGAAACACCCTAGGTGCACCGGGTGCCTCCGGATTTTGTTTACTTTACTTCCCCTTTCCCCGCACGGCCGTCGGTTGATTTTATCCCGACCGCCATCACCCGAGGTATGTCGACTGAATCTCTCCTTTCATGTGGTGATCTGCCTGTTACATGTTCAGATCCGTGATTGGTTTGTGTTCTTGACTATCTCTCTGTGTGTTTGGGGTAGTGGGTTGGGGCTGGTTCTGTTGCACCTTTCTGTGTTCAGTGAGTTTGTTCTTTCCGAGTGTTGTTTCTCGTTCCTCAGTTGTCTGTCTATCCACGGATAACCTGAGTGATTCTCCCTGATTAGTGAAGGAGCGTGGTGTCAGGGCTAGGGGATACACTGTCAGCCACCAGCGTGGCCTCAGCTATAGGAGTTGGGGTGATTGAGAATGCCTTTTTGGCATTTCTCATAATAATATCTTGGCCAAGGACCCACCCTCATGTTGAGTGGTCTCCCAATCAATTTCCTTATTGTTTCCCCCTGATCTTGTGCGGCACCTCTGGCCATTTGCAGGACTAAAAACGTGGGTTGGCCCCCACTTATGTGGGAGGTCAACCCTTTGTGTACCCGAGTGTACAATCGGTCCCGAAAGTTGTATTTTCCGGACTCTTTTAATTCTATTTTTATTTTATCGGGTCAAATAAAATATAACACTTGTTCCCAAACCTTATTGGACCTTAGAATGAATCTGCATTCCCCAACTTTAATTTAGAAGTCTCCAAAAATCCTTTTTGGGCTGTTATCTGATAAATTGCCGATAATGATAATTTGACCTCGTTTGACCAACCGGTCAACCCTGTGGCATTGCTATGGCCCAATTAGGATATCCACCACCATATACATATTATCTAGTCCAAGATTAATATAATATGTGGTCCCGATAATATCGGGCGGCCCCACTTCCTGTGTGGGCCCCACGTGAATTTTTACTATTCACGTAAAAGAAATAATAAAAAATTACAATTACGTAAAAATGCTTTTATTCATTCCTCAGGATTCAATACATAATTTGGTACAGTACAAATACTCGGGGGCGGTGTTACACACTTCATATCTATAGTCCGCTCCACCTTCTTGTGTAGCAACTATACAAGTTTATTATAGTGAAAATGTTACAAACCAAAGGAGCTACTCGATAACATAATTCGAAATGCAAAACTATATAATTTTTTTATTATTAACTTTAATAATGCTGCATAATTATTAAACAAATTATCAACTTTAATAAACCTCTATAATTATTACAAAAAAACTAAGCAATCTCTGCTTTTTTTGGGTACTAAGCAATCTTTGCACAAAAGCCCATACAACATTAATACTTACACCGGAAAGAGATTATTCTACACTAATTTAACAAGAAATGAATCAATGATATGATCTTTTGAAGTAAAACTAATCAATAGATAGAGTAAACTAGGAAAATTATTTTGGGTAATTAAGAACACCAGAATTCTGAAAAATTTCTCCTGGAAACTTCCATGAAAAATTAGATGTATCCTTCTGGTGAGATGGGAACTGCCATGTAAGAAAATTGATAATTTTATATACAAATGCAGGTAGTTAAGCTAGAAGTTACATGAAACAAGCTGCATTTTTATAAAACATAGGCTGACAGACTATTCAACTTATCCCAAAAGGTTAGACAGTAGATTGAGATGACTTACCGGATCGAGAAAGACTCAAGATTGCTTACCTCACCGTTGTCTGAAAAAGTATCTTCTGGGGTTTATTTGGTCACCTGATCCTACACGAGCTGAAAAAACGGGAATAAATCAAGAAACATAAGATCTCAAGGTGATTTTAACATGAAATGTTTGCTGGAAAGTGGACTTTGATTCACGCTTACCGATGTTGAATCAATTTTAACCAGCCCTTGTGCATTCAGCTGAAGACATTCAGCTGGAAAGTGAACTCTGATCAATTTTAACTTCCGCTATAGACATTCGAACTCAGTCGCCCATTACCTTGCACAGGAAGGCTTCAAATCAACCATTCCACAGTTGTTCACGGCCAATACTCTACCATCCAAAGGTCACCTTCAAGTTGATCCAAGCATATGGCTGTCCTGTTGGCGTATCAAATGCAGGTACTAAACGTCTTCCCAGATCCTCTGCCAGATCAAGAAGCTGCTTCTTATAAGTTCCTTGAACCAACATGTTTGTAGAATCAGTTGCAAGAAGATGGGCAGAAACTAGTCCACCAAGAACTCTTATGTTGCACTACCCATGGAAAAAAACATCATCAAACAA